TCCCTCCCTCCCTCCCTCCCTCCCTCCCTTGCGCCACACTGAATGAGAAACTGGACTCGCTGGTTCGCGAGCTGAATGAGGAGTCGCAGGCCACTGTGGTCCCAGAAGGCAGCCCTCCGGCCCCTGATGCCAAGGAGAGCCCTTTCCGGCCCAGCCCTCGGCCTCCCCGCGTCTTCAAGTCCAAGGAGCAGCTCATGCTAAGGGCCAACAGCCTCAAGAAGGCGCTGCGCCAGATCATCGAGCAGGCAGAGAAGGGTGAGCTGCAGGCCTCGCCCTTCAGGCTGGAGCCGGGCAGGGAGACATGGCGCTGGACTGACACCTCCTCGAGATCGGCTCTGGCAGGCCATGAGCGCAGGATACGCGGAGGGCTGGGGTCCCGCTGGTCGCAGAGGGCGGGCAGGCAGGACGTTGAGGATGCGCTTCCCAGCAGAACCTTCTGCCCGTGGCTGTGGTCGGCGCCATCTGTGGGTGCCGAGGCCCCTGTGGCTGGCATCGTGGATGAGCCGCTGCTGCTCTTCCTGGAGGGGTCTAAACCGCTGCTCCGATGCCAGCTGCTTCTGCTTCTGTGTTGCCAGCCCTTTTATTACAGAGAGTTTTGCTGCTTCTACAGCAAATAGTCCCTTTTGAATCCCTTCTTATCTGCTGATTGTATCGGCTTTTGTGGAAACCAGGGCAGCTGCAGGCAGGGCAGGGCAGGTCCCTCTTTAAAGTAAGCAGGACTTCTGCTTCCTCCTTTCTCCCCCCGCCTCACAGCGGTGGACGAGCAGAACAAGCAGACCCAGAGCTACAGGAGCCTCTCGGTGGCCGGCAAGAGGGACAGCAGCGAGGACTTTGCCAAGGAGACCGACGCACCGAGTATGTCTCTGGGATGCCGGTTTGGGCTAGGAGGGAACGGGTGCAGGGCGAGGACTGGGGGGGAGAGGGGAGGAATCAATGGCTGCAGAGCAAGTGGAGTTAGGACCAGCTCCGGGGCTGGCAAGGCCAAGGGAGCACATGACAGGCTGCCCCGCCTCGCCTCTCCCTGGAACACCTGTGCCCAGGTCCTCTGGCCCGCTTCCCTCAGCTTCCTCGCTGAGACGCCACACCTTCGCTGGCGGCCAGTCCCGTGCCCTTGCCTACAGGCAGAAGAACCTGTGCCTGGCGGGGTGCCTGCAGCTCCAGCTCGGGAGCCCGACAGCCATGAGAGCATCCCTCTGCCTCCGGGGGGTTGGGCAATGCGAGGACTCTCCATCCTGAGCAGAGGGGGCTGGCAGGGGGTCTAAGCCAGGGCCAGCCATCTCTCCCGAGTGGCTGAGAGGAAGCTGCAGCCTCTGGCTGTGTCTCTTCCAGAGCCCCGCCGCGACACGGTCATCTCCACCACTTCCTCCCTCCTCCTGGACCGGCCCGAGAGCTTCACCACCGCCCCCTTCGCTGAGGACCCCGATGCTGTGTGAGTGGCCGCGGCTGCCCCGCACTCCCCGAGAGGGAGGGCTGGCACTTGGGAAGGGCGCAAAGAAGGGCTGCATCGGGCCTCTCAGGCCTGCGCCCAGCAGGAAATGACTCCTTGTTGGGAGAATGACTCACTGTTCGGGGAAAAGATTTCTCTGCTCTTCCCATCACACGGCGGTTAAAAGTGCCCAAAGGGCTAGCAAATGGTCAGTTCAGCAAATTCAGTTGAAACTGATGGCTGGCGTCCATCTTAAAGAGGCAGCGAAATGAAACACAGTGCAGCAAAAGCATCTCCTGAGACCTGAACCAGCTGTGGTCAAGAAGACTGGCACAGCTGGAGGAGCCTGGTTTGGCCGCTGCGTCTGACGCCCAGTCCAGGCCGCGCTCAGCTTGTGCAGACGCGTGCCCTCCTGGCAGGTCTGCCTCTCTCTTCCACCGTTGTAGAACTCTGGCCTGATGAAGAGGGCTTCATTTTCCAAAGTTTGCCCTTTTTCACCACCCTCAAATTGGCCTGGATAAGGCACTGTCACATATGGGGCTTTGCATGCTTCTCACGGCCAGCGTGCCCGCCTCTGCCGTCGGACTGGGGGCATTTGCATGGGAAACTCCCCAGCTTTGTCACGGTTCATATGGGAGACAGAGCGGGCCGGAGAAAAAGACGGCGTGGTGCCTTCTGGGACGAGGAGCCTGTCCGTCTTCTTTCTGGCCAGGCCTGCTTCAGCAGATGCCCCCCCACCCCCGGACAAAGGCCTTGGGCAGCCTCCACCACTTGGCCCATCCCGTTCCACTAGCATCCTTCAAGGAGAAAGATGAACGGGGCTCTGGAAATCAGCCAGGGCTTCATTTAATTTTAGCCTGCTTTTGGAGACTGGAAGAAGGTGCGGTCCTGTCAATCGGGGGTTTGTTTTCAGAGCCATCCGCCCCCCCCCGTCCTTCCGCACTTCAGTGCGTCTGGCGCGGGTGTCCAGGTGCTCTTGCCCCCCTTCCCGCAGTGCTCCGAAGGAAGCGGAGAGAACAGAACAGAACGACTATTTGTATTCTGCGACGTATTCCCGGTTCTGCTTCAGTGTTGTTTCTGAACTATTTCCTTTCCCTCCATCTGCCGGCTCCAGACAATTTTCCGAAAGATGCGTCATGAATAACTATTTTGGCATCGGCCTGGACGCAAAGATCTCCCTGGAATTCAACAACAGGAGGGACGAGCACCCAAAGAAGTGCAGGTGAGCCTGAGGCTGCTGAGTGTGGGAGCCCCCTCCTCTTCCCTCAGGGCCAGAGGCTCTGCCAGCGCGTCTGCTGGCAGAGGCGAAGCAGCTTTAAAGCTCTTTCTCCTGCCCTGTGCAGGAGCACGTGCGCGTGCCCACATACGCAGAGAGGGCAACCGCATTTGACAGCCGATTAAGAAATGCCTGCCCCTTTGCAGTCCTTCCCCGGCTGCGGCATTTCCCCCGGCCCAGCGGTCCAGGCAGGAGGAGGCGGGCGCTTGAGCTCCCTCCTGCCATGGCTGCAGCCTGTCCTGGAGCAGAGAGCCTCTGGCCCGCAGCGTCCCACCAGCTCTGGCAAAGCTGCTCCGGGTGCTCAGGGACGCCCCGGAGATGCAGCTTCAGGGGCCTTTGCTTGGAAGGAGCCAATGTCAAAACCCACCCGGAACGCCTGGCCCCGCTTCTGGGCTGACACGTTTGCACCCACGGTTGCAGCCATTCTCTCTGAGGCTCAGGGCTGGGTGGGTCTTTCACTCAAGGACCCTGCAAAGGTCGCTCCATGAGGCCTCCCCTGGGCAGCCTTTGGGAACGTGGAAACTGTGCTCCAGCCCCGCAGCACAGGAGTCGCCAGGCTTCTCCGCAAGGATATGGGAGCTTCCTAATTGTGCAATTAATTATTCATAATTGCACACCCTCCAAAGGTTCTGCTAAGCCTGTAGGAGCTGGCTAACGGCTTTACTCTGGAGAGCGGAAAGCCGCTTGATCCTCTGGCTACCCAGAGAAGCAGGACGGGAGGGGATTAAGCCCAACAGACCAAAAGAAAGCGAGGCAGGTGGATGATCTACCGGGGCAGCCACACGCACAAGGCTTCAGTGGTCGAGGCCACAGAGGCAGGCAGCCTGTCCTACCCTGTTGGAAGAAAGAGGAGAAAGACACACTTGCACGCGCACACACACACACACACTGTTTTGTTGCCTTCGCAGCAGCCGCACCAAAAATATGATGTGGTACGGTGTCCTGGGAACGAAGGAGCTACTGCAGCGGACCTATAAGAACCTGGAGCAGCGGGTCCAACTCGAGGTACTGCAGAGGGGGCTGGCCCCACTCCCCTTCCTGCCTGAAGGAAGCAAAAGACCCCTGCGCCGCCCACCAAGAGAAGCGGCGCTGCCGGGCTCTCATTCGCGCTGAGCTGTGGACTCGGGGCACCCCCAGCCCCCTGCGGGACGTCCCCGCCTGCGACCCAGAGCGCTTCTCTCCGCTCTCTTCCAGTGCGACGGGGTTCCCATTTCCTTGCCCAGCCTGCAGGGCATTGCTGTGCTCAACATTCCCAGCTACGCAGGTGGCATTAACTTCTGGGGAGGCACCAAGGAAGACAATGTGAGTCTCGGCCTGAGGCCTTCTGCACCCGCCCCCTGCCCCTTTGGTTGCAGGTGCCATGAACTCCGTTGCCTTTCTCCTCCGTCCAGTTGCGGAGGGTAGGGGGAGACTAGCTTCATTGCCAGTATTGCTACGGAAGCGCAACATATTTCTTTACTTACCTGACCAAGAAACTGTGGATAGACAGCATGCAGGTTACTCGCATGTAGAGCGGGGAACTGCACCGAGAGAAGCCCTCCAGGGTTCTGGCTCAGGGCCCTAAGAAAGCTCGTCTTCCCCCTGTCAGAATTTCGGGGCTCCTTCCTTCGACGACAAGAAGCTGGAGGTGGTTGCTGTTTTTGGGAGCATCCAGATGGCGGTTTCACGGGTCATCAACTTGCAGCATCACCGCATAGCCCAGGTAAGGCTCGGCCCGGCTGTGCCTGGCCGGCTGGTCTGCCCGCAACCCTCCCACACAGAAGGACGGAGTGTCCCTCATCACCCACTTCTCCTCTTCAGTGCCGGGTGGTGAAGATCACGATTCGGGGAGATGAGGGTGTCCCGGTGCAAGTGGATGGAGAAGCGTGGATCCAGCCTCCGGGGATGATCAAGATCCAGCACAAGAATCGCGCTCAGATGCTGACAAGAGACAGGGTGATAACCCCATTACAGACTGGGGGAATCTGGCTGCAGCTAAATTGGGGGGGCAAGCTGGGAGTAGCCACCTCCTCCAAAACGGGCCCTGCTCTGCTCTCAGCTGGCAAATGCCGCAGCCTGTGAGCATCTTAGGAAAGTCCAGCTGCGTGTCAGCGATGTCAGCCCGTTGGCCCAAGTCTGGAGCCCCCAGCATCGTGGCTGGTGTGGGAGGGGGCTTGTCCGTTGAGGCTCTCGGTTTGGCTGTGTCTGCGAGAGTCAGCCATGGCCCATCTGTGTCCCTGCAGGCCTTTGAGAGCACTCTGAAATCGTGGGAGGACAAGCAAAAGGGGGAGGGCTACCGAGCCCCATCCCGGCCTCGGCTCAGCTCCCAGCAGTCCATGGAGTACCTGGTGGAGGAGGAGGGGGCCCAGATGCAGCAGCTGGTCCAAGCCACCGAAACCCTCATTAGCAGGTACTAACCACGCCGGTCCCCTGGAAGCGGTCACTCTCCAAAGGCCGCCCTGGGAGCCCTCGCTGGAAGGGCCCTCCATGGCCAAGGGGTCCTGCTTCCCAGCAATGTGCCAGCTTGTCTGAGTTGATGCTCTGGAGATGCCTTTTCGGTTCAAGTTACCTCTGCTCCTCACCACAGGGTGAGAGGAAAGATGTTGGGCAAGCCACATTGCTGACGACGGTCTGACCTCCTTCACAAGGTTGGGGCTCTCAGAAGAGTTGGAGGAGGGGGAGGGAGGACCGCGTACCTTTGCTTCAACTCCAGGCTGATGGACACATGCAATAAGCCACTTTGCTCTACAGCAGCGTTTTTCAAACTTGGCAACTTTATAATATGTGGACTTCCAACTCCCAGAATTCACATCTTAAACTTGCCAAGTTTGAAAAATGCTGCTCTACAGGAACCTGATGGGTCTTTCCTTGGCTTTCTCCTGCACTCAACAGGGACAATTCAGCTGCGCAAGTTCACACAGTGTATGGGGGGGGTGAAGTCAGCTTGCCAATGGCTTTCCCACTGTGCCAGGTCTGTGGCTGATGGGCCATTTCCCTCTCCCCCTTGCAGGATCCGTGAGGCTG